AAAGGGGAATACGAATCAATTTAAAACAGACTTTTTAGAGACGTATAACATAAAAATAAACGTAATGAGAAGAAATCTCAATCGCCTCAATTTATTTATTTGAATGAAAAGCAAAGCTTTTCAAGTAGATTAGTTTTCGATAGTCTCGGATAGCGTTTCAAGCTTGAAGCATGCTCATTCCCAAATGTATCAGCCCTGGACATCGGTCTTCACAATACAATTCTTAAAACTATAAACAAAAATAAAAACAACTCGGAACAAGAACAAAACATAATAATCGGTGCTCAAGCTTATCTTCCACCACCGCAGCACTCCGAGTCGAGTCGAGTCGAGTCGAGTCGAGTCGAGTCGAGTCGAGTCGAGTCGAGTCGAGTCGAGTCGAGTCAATTCTCGTTGTGCGGAGCGCGCTCCCGAGAGTACTGGCGGGGCCGCATTTTCGGGAGCGCACACACCGCGGCATAACAGGCTTTTATTTACTCACGCCGAAACGGACAGTCAAGTCAACGTCCTCTCGAAGAGTACTTACAACTGAACAATGCACCTTATACAACAGAAAAAACAACCAAATGCAGTAAGTAAATATCAATAATCAAATATCACACGTTCGAAAAAAACTTATCAACACTGACCAGTCATGAATGCGTCTAAGATTAATTGAATTTAGTTATTTTTAAATTCAGTTACCACCCGTCGACGTTCAAAGAATCAGGAGCTCCCGCTTAGATTCTAAACCTAGTGTGGGATGTACATAGCTGGAAGAATATTTACAGTTCTCAAATTTTAATTTCAAGGAAAAAGAAGAAAATTCTATATAACTCATTTTAATGTGCGATTTTACTTTAGACCATATTATGAAAAACCTAGCCTCGCTTCATTCTCCTTTTGTAAAGATAATATTCTTAAAAATCATTATTTAAATAGGGTTTTAAATAGTCTAGAAATCACTGGTGTAGTAAGAGTACGTACGTATTTCCAAGACAAAATAACTGAAACTGTTCTACGAACGGTCCTGCTCACTTCCTCAAATAGAACGGCTTAAAATTGCCCAGTCGCTAAGGAACAGTTCGTTTTCCTACTCAGATATATGGCGGGATCTAAAACGAAATGTAGGACTAAAGGAAATCCTCGGCAATTTCACCGATCGAAGGATATATTTTTGGAGCCGTAATCATCAGTCATTATTGTTTAGATAAATGAAGTCCTCCAGAACAGCACTGCAATATAAATTCGTATTAACGGGCATTCTCCTTTTCCTACAGTTCACTCGACTTTCCGATTATGCTCTGCCCTAATATACCTCTATATCATGATCAATCGAAGACTTCGTTATGTTGAATATACAAAATATCATGTGCAATTACAGTAGTGTTGAGACAAGATTCGGATAATAAATTTAAAACTGTAGGGGGATCAACTTATGCCCACTATAATTTTATTGAATTACAGGTACTCCAGAAGAGATAAATGAGTTCGGTAACACAAAATTTTATGATAGTCAACCAATTATTCCAGACTCCTAGAAGGGACGATTTTTGTATTTTCCCAAGCACATAAAACGGAAATGATACAGAACAATCATTAGGAAAAATCAATTTTAAAATCGAATAGTTAAAAGTTCATAATACCCATTCAATTGCATATTATGGACAATGAGTTAACGGAAGAGATATAACAAATGTATTTCTGACCTAGATTTCTTAACCAAGGAAACAGACATGCAGGGATTGACGACATGCAGGGATCGAACACTTTTCATTCTAAATTATCTCGGTGCTCCTACGCAACATCCGCCTAAAAGGAATCGAGAGAGTATTGGCCGGCATGCTAGATAATGCTTTCCCGGCAATTTAGAAAGTTTTAAAGCATCAAATTTTAATCACCTCCTAATTTTAAATGGCATCACCCAACATGTTACCCGCTTTCAGAAAAAGGAGAAATGAAAAAAGAAAAATCTAGTTCAGCCTGACATTGGGAGAGGAACAGCGTGATGTCCTTACATGCTCATTCAGCACTGTATAAATCGTTGAACAAAAATATAAGGTTCGAGGAAGTTCACAAAGAGAAACATTGGCCATAATACTAGGAAAGGTATCGAAATTACTTTCACTAATCTACATACGCAAAAATTGACAAACAAACGTTTTCAATATCAATGATAAACAGACAGTACGTATATAATGAATTTAAATATAAAACTATAAGCTTTCTTAAGAAAGTACAAAATAAAGTATACCTTAACGACGTTTCTGCCCAATTCTTTAAACCCTCACCCGACTTAAAAACTGTGTTTAGTTTTCAAATTATAAATATCCAAACTAATGAATTATAAACTAAAATGAATTATAAACAAAAATTAATTATAAATAATAATAATAATAATTCAAATTAATGAATCATAAAGAGAGAAAAAGTTGAAGAAACTGCACGAAGATTTCAAGTGGATTCACTTATCCCCATTTCTGTAGCAAATTTCTAAAGACGAATTTACTGTAGGCTCAAAGCGCATTTTTGCAATTCAGATTCATACGGTGATTCGGCTTAAGTTTGAATCGACGGTCAGCGCCCCTTTTTCGGCCGCGCGCTCTGCGCCGAGTAGTAAGGTTTTTGAGCCACGCTTGGGTACGGTCAAAGTAGACGCTTTCGGGCGATCACGCATGATCAGACTGTGTCCGAAATGTTCTGGCGAGCACGGCTGAATTACGCCAATCACCATGCATGTAGATAAATGTTTGGTAATGGAGTCCCACGGTAGACCTGTAGCTGAAGATACTATAATACGACAGGGACATCAGCAGGAATAGAAGCATATTTTAGAAAGCGAAAAGTTTCATTAAAATTTCGGCCCCCAAAAAATATGAAATCTCAGTAATGTAAGAGGAATGTGAAGTTTCTTTAACAAAAATCTCTCCCACTCTCCCCTCTCTGTCATGTCAAACATATCTCGTATTAAACATAGCTCTCGGGGAGCGATTTTAATCTTTGCTCCCATTATACACCGCCAGAACGAAGGAATTTGCAAACGGGTCTGAGCTGTGTGACTAATGTTTGGAGAAATCACTCGACCGCTCGCACCCAAACGATGGCACACTGCTCCATTCCGACCAAATCTCGGGACGCCGTGGGCAGACTCCCTAAACACAGAGTAGTACAACCTGAACGGCCGCAGCCAGTTAATATCCTTTCACCCAACAGCCCCGCCAGACAGAATTTAGGAATTAAGAAATGGTGATCGAAGGCATAATGGAGAGTTTCGAGTATATTATCAATGCTCTCTGGTAGATCGGTGGCTCGTAATTCCCCCACACTGCCGCACAGATCAAGTGATATAAAATGGCGGAATCGGCGGTGCAAAGGAATGCGCTACTCGGGCCTGCGAGGGCGCTCGGCCGGGGCTGAGGCTGGCGGTGCACCTGCCGACCGGTCTGGCGGGCCCCCAGAGACTTTTTTAGGGCCCCGCTCCCTCACCGACATGGACGGTGCAGCCCTTCTGCCCTGCCGCTTCTTCGCCCTCACGACTGGGGAGGGAACAGGTTCTAGTGTGAAGTCTGCGATTTGGAAAGCAGAGCACTGCAATATCCGAGTTCCTGGCTAGGGGAACAGAAACTGCAGCTGCTATTTTCACAATAAGATGCATCTTTTGGAGCTATTCGTCGTCCTTTTAGTGCTGAATTAATAAAAAAAATAGCAAAGCATCTGATCACAATTACCAGATTATAATAAATCAATTATGGAAGAGAAACGGCGAATCTCGAAATTCGACACCTTTCATATCATTTTTCGTGAAAACAGTATAAATTTCTTTTGTAACAATGTAACTTACCCATTGTTCATCAAGATGTCAATAAATATGCTGAATATAGTTGTGTGATAAGTCATTAACAATTTTTCATTCCCATTTTTGTTTATTATAAAAACTTGGAAACAGCTACATGCTGATGTAGAAAGAATTTATTATTATTATTATTAATATTATTTTCTGACACCAATTTCTCAAGTGTTATTTTGAAAGATTTGACGCGATAAAACCTGTGGCAAGGGAACAGGATATGCGTTGATGATGATAAAGCTCAGTTTTCTTCTGACAATTGTTTATATTTCAGTTGAAATACTCGGTACAGGATTTAAATTAATAACATTAAAATACTTAATGTACGTGAAATACTAAGCAGAAATTGAGTTAAAAGAAGTGTTTGGAAACTTCATTCTGTTGCAGTTGTTACTGTTGTACGTTAAATGAAACGCGACTCAAATAGACATTCACATTTCCTTTCTCTTCCAACAATATTTCAATGAAATATAAAAGTGTAGAATGAAGAATACTAGTAAAAGAAATGTGTCTAAATATTTTTCATTAAAAAACAAAATGTTTACATACCTTCAAAAGATTTCAAATTCTGTTTTCATGCAATTATTAAATTATTTTTGAAGAAAGGATAAACTAATAAGAATAGTTTTGTTTGTTTTAATTGCTTTTTGTTGAGCTTTTTTTCGCTGCAAATGTAACATATTAATGAGAGGCAAATTATAAAGTAATTAAATTTATAGCGAAAACTTATTTCAGTTTAAAAAAGTTACACTCATTACTCTCAAATTACCTCAAATAATTCGTGAAACGTACCGAATTATGCAAGTTAACGTCGGGTCACCCAGGACGGACCGCCCTCTCGTAACTACGCTGCTGTCCGCAGGCGCATCAACGCAATGCGGAGCCCGGACCAGCAGCGGGTACACGAAGAATTGCAGTGCGCACGCGCGTGTGTGCGCGTGTGTATGCGTTTGTGTGCAAATGTGCGCAATTTAGTTAGAATGTGTCGTCTCTTGAAATGTCTGCTCGGACTTCTGGGAATACTCCTTTCCATTGCGTTGCGCTCAGTTCGGTTTAATGCAGATATTGTATTGAATAAATGGGGAAATATTATGTAGAAATGATGGAGGCGGGGCCAAGTCCCGCGGGAGGGGGAGGGGGAGGGGGAGGGCGCGTGGGATAGGCGCGGCGGAACCTACCTGAGCAGCACCGTCGCCGTCTCCGGGACCCGGAACACCTGCAAGCAAAGCACAAAGTCTCTCCACCGCCCACTCGTTCCTCCTCGCGACTCCGGAGCCAACTTGCTCCGTTCGCCACTTCCTCCTCGACGCCCGGCCTACGCTCTCCGAAGCGGGATTCTGCTTTTCAGATCGAGAGCGCAGGGAGATGAACGATCGCACTGCGGGGATTTTGCTATCACTGATAGGTGAAGTAATGCATTTCGCAATCTATTTCTCAAACCATTAGGGTGCGACCGCTTTTCGTTGGTTTGCTTCATCAAGAGGATATACTGCTAATGAGCTCGGATTACTCAGGCAAGGAAAGATTTAAGATCAATGTGCCAACTAGCACTAGCATTTTTGTTTCTTAATTGCTGTAATTTGGGTAACTAAAAATCAAAGACTATTAGCATTCTTTCCTGTCAGCGTAAAAATGTATTAGTAGAAGAAAGTATAATCGTCGCTTATGTTTTACGGAAGAATTAGTCTTCGAAGAGGATCAACTACCTGTTATTTACGGATTGAAAGTAGCCAAAAAATATTGGATCGCGAAACAAGAGGGAAATGACTTCTGTTCTTTCTTTTTATTAAATATAGTCAAATCCTACCGCTCAAACGGGCTTTTCTCAATTCTCCACTTCTTAAAAGCATACTGTACCAAACTATTATCTTGTTATTACTTGGTAAGAATCGCTACTCTTTCACGTTTTAGAATAGCACAGACATCGCTTCGTCCAATTTTCCTGTTTTGTATACGCTTTAATGATACGTCCCATTCAGTGGTTATTCACACTAATATCCCCATGATCCATGATTTGCAGAACTTTCTGAGTCTCCAAAACGACCACATAACTATGGTGTATGAGTATGTATATTATGTATATTATGTATATTATATATATATATATATATATATATATATATATATATATATATATATATATATATATATATACACACATACATACTAATCTGATTATTTTTAAGGTTAATGAAATATGAACTGAGAATTATTCTAATTTAAATTTAACTTAATAATTGAAAGATTACAAATAAAATATATGAAAATAAAATATTGCGCATTAAAAAAGCCATCTAAGTAATGAATAATAATTTCGCATTTTGTTCATTTTTCAAAAGCGTTTATTGACGCTAGAAAAAAATGTGCGTTTAAAGTAATCCTGATAAATCCAATGGCCTCTCTATAAGGGCTGCCCTTTTTACACCCCTCATGAACGACGGTCCTCACACTCCGCCGCCGCCGCCGCCGCACGGGCACCTGCACCGAACCAGAGCATGCGGTCACGCGGAATCAAATTGGCAAAGGGGAAAACCATTACGCAGCTAATAACTTACAGAAGAAGGCCCTTCTAGCTTGTCTCCATTACAACCTTACTGCGTTTATATGAATATTACGCGGTTTTATTCTTGCAAATATCGCTCAACAATTTGCGTTTGGCATTCCTTTTGTGTAGATCCTCTTCGACCCAAAACTTCTTGTCGCCTAGTATTCATGATCATGAAAGACTCTGAAGATAACACTTAAGAAGCGTGGTGCATGAAGTACGAGGCTTAAGAAGTCGTCAGCATCTGTTACTTTCGTTCAAAGGATTTTAGGACATCAATACCACCTCACTACTTTAAAACTATTGGTAACTTTTCGCTCGCTTAAAGAACGTCCAGATAAAGTTCTACAGTCGCATACTATTTGTAACAATTGAATATATTGTTGATTGCTCTTGACACATGAGACATATCTAGTTTTCAAAAATATGAATCTCATGTAATTTCAATAAAACGCGAAGCAAACAAAAGAACTTTACATTTTATCAAATACTTAAGTTTATTTACATTTTTTAGTAATTTTACATTGGACGTGTGTTCCTTGAGAGATAAAATGAAAACATTGCTGAGACATGAAAATAAATAACAAAATTGAAATGTCAAACTGCAAAAAAACATAATTTAAACGGGATACGTAGAGATAAACTACACTCGTAATTACTAGAAGGGATTCCTTATATGTGAGAATTGCTTCGCCGCTTAATTTCAGCTACGAAAGTAAGAACGAGTTACATTACGGATTGTTTTATTTGTATTGTTCATTTGGTGCCGTAAGATGAACGAAGTTGAACTAGATAAGAAAACACGCAATCAAGAAACTATTCAAAAATTGCAGCCTCAAAACGCATGGTAGAATTTTCTTTCCGTCAATTTTTCGTCCAGAGAGACTGTGCTCCCCCTCTCGCGCGGTGCGCTTGCAATGGTCAGAACGCGCCGCGCGGCAGGGCAAAGCGCGCTCGGGGCAGCTTTCTGCTTCGCCACGACGCACTAACACTTGTCACTCGGACAAAAATCGCCCGCGCTCACTTATCGGCCACATGCTATTAATACTGCTACACGGTATTTATACGCTGCTCCACGTATAGATATCCGCGAACACACACCCGCACGCGCCGAGTCAGACAAGGGCAACGGAGTCGCTGGCGGGCTCCGCCGCACGGGAACGGGGGCGGGGGCCCAGGCAGGTTGCCGCGACCACGCGGTGGGCCCCCTCGCTTCGCGACAGCGCACAATGCAGCAGTGGCAACGCTCCCCCTTACCTTCCATCCCAAGTTCTCGAAAAAGGTGCACAGCCGGGACTGTCCCGTGGTCTTCCCACCGCACGGGCCTGAAACAAACGCACGCGCGGGGGTCGCAGGTGGTTGCCAGCGTGCCGTAGTTGCCAGCGCAAGCGTTAACAAACAGCACGAGGAAGTGCGAAAGGACTAGGACAACACTGTCTCCTCGCGCACTTCCTCGTGATAAGCGTACCAATGCCGCCAGTCCGTGCACGCCCGCGCGACCGCTTGACAAGGCCTCCCACACTGCGCACGGCGGCCCCGTGCAAGCTCCTACAGGCGGGCGCACGGGCGGGCACGCGACAAGACAGCGCTCGCACGTTACATAATAGAACGCGCGCACCTCGCTGCCCCGTCCACAGGGCCGCGTGACAGCATCGACACGACGAGCGTGAAGCGTCACGCGCCGCGAACGGGGCGGCCACGCCGATGCGCTGCCAAACGCTACAGAATTAGCACGCGGCCGCCGCTGCGCTGCTACCGCCACACTCACCTCCCGTCAGCACCACTTTGTACACCCGTTTGTTCTTCGGATCCATGGCAGACAATTCAGACACGATGAAGATCGGCACACAAGAAACGACTAGGGAATCAAATCATATTGATACAACCCTATCTTTAGCCGAGATCAACAAAACTTGTGCTCGCCACTGCACGCGAACACACAACGAAGAACCGACCGAGAGAAAATCATAACGAATAGTGAGAGAATCCCCACACAGTCAGTAGAGAGCACTGCTGTCGCAATGGGAGGGGGTAATGGCGGCCGGGCGTGTTCCTGCAGTCATAAGTACCAACCTTACGGAGAGGCATGAGTCAGAGACTTTACATAAAAGCATTTCTTGTCATCTCCTTGTCTGAAATAAATCTGCATTGGTTCTAAACTATCACTTATTTTCTGTATTACAAGTAAAACAACGGCACGTGTGTAATGTTTTGTGTTAAACATATTTAAAAACTGGCAAATAAACAAATCCTATTTCTGCTCCGTGTTCTAGAAAATAATTCACGATGAAAAATGGAACGTCGCAAATGTCGCACATATCGATTTTCTTGTGTCACCTGCGATGCAACAAATTAGTACTTATATGAAGCAAACGTTAATTATTGCAAATGACATCATAACCTAGAAAATCTTATTAGAACTAATTCTTGGTTAAGTCAAAAGCCTCGTGAGCATATGAGAGGCAGGAGAGCATGTAATTGAGAGGAAGGCGGCTAATTTGGATTTCAAACCTGTGTGACGTTCGCGTCTGTAGACTGCTGAAAAGGGTAAGGTAGGATAATTTCTTGTCAGTGACATAGTATTGTATTTGTATCAAAAATTTGGATTCTTAAAGTACACAATCCGGAATAGCATGTTTTCTGGCTGACAATTTAAGGCAAATACGTGCATTGGTCATTTTCACTGAAATGTTAAGAATGGTTACGCTTTATACGAAAGTTAATACACGTTCTCTCTGATCACATGCTCTATAAATTGTGGGGAGAAGAATTTAAAGGCAAAAGAAAAGAATGAAGAGAAAAAAAAGAAGTCCATATCTTTAGTAAAAATAGCGACAATATTGAAGTAAAACTCAAACTTAATATGGAATGAGGCTTAAGGAACTCTCGAGAATGTACTTAGCAAAACATACTCCGGGATGGGCAGTATATAAACACTTGTAGTACGTATTTTAAATAATTTTGTATCTTGTATTCTTTATTATTTATGTTTTTTGAACATGTATTTTATAGAAGTACTTAAATACATAAAATATATGTATTTAAAAAATAAATACTTAAAATACTTTAAATACAGATGAAGATAACGAGGATAGTTTCTTTTTGATTCTGCTGGTGAATGAACCTCATTGAAACAAAAATAAAAGCTCCTTTCGGCTTGATTTCTCTTCATTTTTCAAAGGTAAATCTAAATCATTAAAAATGCCGGACAATTATCCGAAGATAAAAAAGTGTCTATTCTTTATAACACTGGTATACGTTCAGTACCAGTTCAACAACTGTTTTCCTTGCCGAGTTTTATACCTTCGCCAACTATTGTCTGATGATTTGTTTGAAAAACTAGTCGCTTTAAAAGGAAATTCCGTTTATTGGAGTTGGTCATATTTTTGATATATTTTTAAATTTTATAGTATTTTTGTGAAAGTGTAAGTGAAATTGTTTTGTATTTCAAAGTTTTTAGTTATTGTTCAGACATTTTTGACTGTCAATTAGTAATTTATTGTAATTGATTATTACAATATATATTTGCAATAAAAAGTTATAATGCAAAATTTTTGTATTTGCTGTATGTTGTCATTTGTATTTGAAGTATTTTAAATAACTATGTACTTAGCAATTCAAAACCTAACGTATTTAATTGATGCCTTATTTTACGTGGCGAGACTCGAGCCACGAGGCCCGCTCTTCCATCTGACAATGCAAATTTTGCTACGCACCTTTCACCCACTAGCGAAGAAAGGAGTTATTAGTTGGGCGACGACACAGGCGAATTAAATTTAGCTCAGAGAAGTCATTTAGGCATGAGGATCTTTTACGTGCAAGTAAATCTACTAACATGAGACAGCCGGCTTTACTTCCCCTTAGAAGGAAGGCGCGCGAAGGAATTTTTCGCCCTTAAAAATCCACGGCTTCGCTCGGGTACACGCCAACTTTGGTATAACAGTCCGATACACTAACCGTTACACCATCGCCACAATGTAGGTCTAAATATGTATTTAAGTACTATTTCTAAAGTATTTTGGTGAAATATTTAAACACTAAATTTAAAGTATTTTGCTCAATCCATTTGTATAATTCCCCCCCCCCCCAAAAAAAAATTTAGAGGGGTTCCGCTAGTGATCAATATTCGCTCAGACAGGACACCTAAATGGAAATCATCTATATAGGAATTTTTCATGGAGGAACAGGGTAGTGGAGTGTCGTACTAAAATATTAGACTAATATAATATTTAAGTAAACATTACAATATAAATTAGATGTAAAAGGCAATATTTTTGCAAACATGTAACTTAATAAAACAGTTAAAACAATTATAAGGATAAAATCAAAAAACACGAAAATAAGGTTTTTCATAGCAGATATTGTTTTATTTTCAGACTTAAATGAATTTATTAGATTTTCTACACTCGATGATACGTATAACTACATTAAGCGAAGCAATGCGTTTCAGAATAAGTGAAAAATTGATTTTTTAAAAAATAAATTGTATGATGATTGTCGGCAGAGAAACTAGTATACGTACTTTCTCTCCCTATTTTCTCACAAAATTACGAGAAAAGTATTCAAATTTACGAAAAATTGCACATGATCTTATTTCTTAATCTAACTTTAAGATTCAGATTTCCTAAATATTTTTGTTGTACGAAGATCCCGAAAAAATTGAACTTTTGCAATTTTCAAAAAGTCAGAGTTTTCAACGAACATGAGACCTGCATCATTCTCTTATAACTCTTTCGCACTATTCAACAAAAAAAAGAATAAAAGATGATGGAGCCTTTTTTTCTTCTCTTTTGTTGGAAATTTGGGAAATATCCCATGGGCTTCGTGTAAAGTACCCCCCAAAATTGAAATATTGGTTTTAAATTTACAGGGCCGGGATATCATCCAGATCGATTTGAGAACATCAATTTTGAAGAAAATCGGCTGAACGTTTTGAAAATCGGCTGAACAAGTGTACAGACGTTTTTCCGTCATTCGATTTTTCGGTATCAAAGACCCACAAACCACGGATTCTGTCACCACACGAAGACACCACATGTGAGAGGCATTTTTTTCTAAATTAAGCAACGGGATTTATCCCCTTTTTCGTTACCAGGGACATGTAATAAGAGTTTTCTGCCGAAAATTCACAGTTTTTCGCGCAGTATTACGTAACTCTATCTTAATTCCGAAGGAATGAAGTACAAAGGGAGAAAGAAAAAAAAATTTTTGGGAATTTCAGTAGAAAAAAGGTCCGATAGAAAGTATTTTATTTTAAACGGGATGTTTCAAATTTTAAAAAATATAATATTGCTGTGCTCTTATAAGCACTAAATGACCTTCTAGTCGTTTAGTAAATATAGAAAGTCCAGAATCAATTAAATCTCTCAAATATTTGAGAGAATAAAATGTGAAGAATAGGTGTGAAAGAACAGGTGCGAACGAACAGGCAAGAAGTGACGTCTACATTTAACAACACATTGAAGCACATACATTGTAATGTCATATCGAGTTCATTTTTGGTTTGATACGAGCTACAAAAACAAAAGTTAGAATCTAATGAGAATGTGAGAGTTCAGCATTCTTATATTTTTCCTCAAATAAAAAAAGTTAAAAGCACAAGGTCTAATGAGTTCGTTGATGTCTTGTTTATGCAAGTGGCGTGAGAATGACATTGATCACAATCAGACACTGCAGTACAGTCACCTCTACAGTCTCCTCATGTAGAGTCCTCTATTTGGCCTCATCTATACCCTCTATTATTACAATCCGTGTGGCTGCCCTGACTCACCTCACACTACATTCGTCCTCAGCAACGGTACATTGAATAAAATGTTAAAATACGCGTCTCAACTTGACGCGTGCGACCGTCCCATTACAATACTCATTAAAACGACCTTTTTGTAGTAATAATAGAAGATAATTTCCATTGATCACAATTTGTGTTGTCACTTACTTGAAGATCTTATTTCCAAAGTGCCGTTTCTGCTTGAAACACGATTTTTCGGGGAAGGAAAATATTCACATTCTGCCTAATAGTTCAAGAAATGTTTAAATGGTTTTCGGATACCGTTTAACATAAGACAAGCGCAATATTTCACACATTTGGTAGAATGATAAAGAAGTGTCTTAAAAATGTTTGTTATGTACAACTCGAAAACAAACGGAAGAGGAATTTGTTAGTTTTTGATCAAGTTACGAATGTGCTGTTTCAAACATGAGATTGGTTGAAATTTCTTCTGCTTTACAAACATCCGCTCATCCTTGACTCAGAGCACACAGTTTTCAAGAAGCAGAAAGGAGAATTAAGTTTGGTAATTCATGGTTTTCAGAGAATCGCAGTATCATGGCAGCTTTGTAACAAAAATGATTCCCTAGCATAAATTACTAACATCACACTGTTTCTACCCACAAATATATTAAAATGTAACAGTATGTAAGAATTATATAGTAAGAGGTAAAATATGTAAAAAACATAATTTTACCAAAATATATAAAACAATGTATAAAATAAAACTGTTTCTAATTCATTCAGAAAGTCTTGTAAAATATAAAACATATACCGCAGGTATCATGTTCCTGTAAAAACGAAATTACATCAAAAAACGTCCCCCCTTTATGTAGGTAAATCAATAAGTATTTGCAATTGTGCTCTAGGTGTCTTTAGGTTGGCTCTCCGGCTTTGCGTGCAGTCAGTCACTTGATGGGACTGTCGCTCTTCCTGTGGTACCCGCATTGCGCTGTTGCAACGTAAAGACTGCTGTCGCCACTCTCTGCTAGCAGCCAAAAGAACAGCGTTCCGAAATCCGAATTTTGTGGTTTGAAGGTGTATCAGGAGCGGAAATTCGGCACAGTACGGGGACAAGGTTTAACACAGCGTAGTGTTTACCAGTGCATTGAAGAGTACAAAAGTGGTCGAACGAGGATGAAAGATGAAAGAACGAAACGGCCGACTACAGCCGTAACTGGTGCAAGTGCCTTGATCCTGAGTTACAGAC